CTCTTCTTCCCTCCAACTCAATGGGGGGGGGTTGTGACAATCAGATCAGAGTAGCCTTTCGTGTCGCCGGATCCTCGAGATCCTCGCTCTCAGTTATCGACTAAAGTAAACTCGTAATCATTCAAGCATATCAAATGACAACTTCGAGATTATGTCATTGTCCTCTAAAGGTTTCATCCAAAAATATTCTATCCAATTTAACTGGAAATAACGCTCTTTCTTCTTCATACAACTACTTTTTTTTTTCAAAATGATTTTCGATACTAAACAATAATGGTAGTTCAGTTCAATTGATTTTCGATCTTGTTTTTCACGGCCTTGATTACATGACAAGCATCAATCATGTGACCTTGATAGAAAAATACAAATACTCACTATCGATTGACTATTATTGAATTCAAAGTAACTGCTGACTCAACATTTCCAAAAACATTCATTTTTATTTCTACAATCCGACTCATCCATCTCATTCATACTTTACACAATTCTTCACTGTCAATATGTTGTTGTAGACTGACTGCTGTGCTACCGCACACACATACCACACCCACACACCCACACACACACACACACACGTGTACACAAATGTTCAGGAAAGGCAAATTATTCCATTATTCCTTATTTGTTTTCACATTTATACAATGTTGTGTAATTAATTATATCACAGATCAATGTGATGTGTATTTACGATTAAGAGCACCATTACATGATATACCGAATTATGTAGCTACACGAATGCCATGGATACCTGGACAATATAAATTGAAAAATTTAATTAGTGCAGTATGGTGGACATTGTGTTTTTTGTACATTCCATTGATAGTAATCTATTGGAAATGTTATGTGGAGTTTATTGAGTAAGTGATGTGATGTTTTCTTTTTTATTCACTGATTATTATTTATGTTAGAAGAAAGTATGATGATCAATACAAACCAAACTGAGAGATCATAGACATAGTCCTAGAAATAACCTTATCCTCGTTTGAATTTTCAGGAGTGGACCTTTTACCTGTTGGCTTGTTTATTGACTTAGAATACGCCGATGATATTGTTCTAATTGTTGAAGACTCTGACAAAATGCAGAGTCTTCTGACCACCCTAAGTAACAATGCAAACATGTTCAGGATGCGGTTTTCCCCTTGGAAATGCAAAATGTTGCTTCAAGATTAGGTTTCATCGGCACCTGAACTAGTGATAGGGAGTGAAGTAGTCGAACGTGTAGACCGCTTCACTAATCTTGGGAGTCTCGTCAGTGCTGATGGCCTGGTGACTGAGGAAATCTCAGCTCGAATACAGAAAGCTGGATCGGCTTTCGCCAACCTGCGTCACTTATGGCGTAGGCGAGATATCCGTTTGCTGACCAAAGGACAGGTGTACTGCGCAGTAGTTCGCTCCGTCTTACTTCATGGCTGTGAAACATGGCCAGTAACAGTAGAAGATGGTCGTAGGTTACTAGTATTCGGTTATAGGTGTTTTCGAAACATTGCTCGTATATCGTGGGACACCCGAGTGAGTAACGCTGTTATTAGGAATCGGGTGCTAGGTAAGAATGGCAGATCAATAGACGCAGTAGTGACACTTCATCAGTTGAGGTGGTTGGGACATGTGTTGCGTATACCGAACCACCGACTGCCTCGAAGAGCTTTGTTTTGTAGTGTAGGAATAGGTTGGAAGAAAGTTAGGGGCGGCCAAACCAAAACATGGCACAAATCCATGAAGTCACTGACAAGTGGACAGCCATGTCGGTAATTGTCGACTACCTGGTTGGGGTTCGCGAGATGATAATAATCGATGGTTAGAGACCTTGAATGACATGGCTCAAAATCGTTTGCAATGGCGCCGGTGCATTTATTCTTTGTGTTCTCTCAAATCCTAATCTTCTGGGTTCCTCAACAACTCTAGTTTTGAATTTCTAAACTTTTCTCATTAAATCATACTTCTTGAATAATATCTTCTAATCCTAACCTCTCGGATTACTCCTAATACCTTTACTACCTGTTCTACTATTGGATTTGAATTGACAATTACATCTCTGTCCTGATGTGGTATGGCGACATGAACTGATAGACTTACGTACGAAGTTCCACGTTGTATCTGACTGACTGACTGACCTGGACGTTGGTTCATTGTTTTGTTCTCGTTATTCGACAAAGATGAACCCCAGTAATAGTTTTAAGCATACATAGACGACGAATATAACAGCATCAAGTCGACATAGAATCGGAATGATACTCAAGAATTGAAAGAAACGTCTATTCTATTCAAAATCAAACAAGTGTTCGCTAAGACATCGGCTAACAGTAAGTGTACTGGGTTGGTATTGATCATCATCATCATCAATATAGCTAATAATCAAACAGACAGACAGACAGACAGACAGATGGAACGTAGAACTTCGTACGTAAGTACATCAGTTCAGGTTGCCATACAACATCAGGACAGAGATGTAATTGTCAATTCAAATCCAATAGTAGAACAGGTAGTAAAGGTATTAGGAGTAATCCGAGAAGTTAGGATTAGAAGATATTATTCAAGAAGTATGATTCAGTGAGAAAAGTTTAGAAAGTAAAAACTAGAGGTGTTGAAGAATCCAGAAGATTAGGATTTGAGAGAACACAAAGAATAAATGCACCGGCGCCATTGCAAACGATTTTGAGCCATGTCATTCAAGGTCTCTAACCATCGATTATTATCATCTCGCGGACCCCAACCAGGTAGTCGACAATTACCGACATGGCTGTCCACTTGTCAGTGACTTCATGGATTTGTGCCATGTTTTGGTTTGGCCGCCCCTAACTTTCTTCCAACCTATTCCTACACTACAAAACAAAGCTCTTCGAGGCAGTCGGTGGTTCGGCATACGCAACACATGTCCCAACCACCTCAACTGATGAAGTGTCACTACTGCGTCTATTGATCTGCCATTCTTACCTAGCACCCGATTCCTAATAACAGCGTTACTCACTCGGGTGTCCCACGATATACGAGCAATGTTTCGAAAACACCTATAACCGAATACTAGTAACCTACGACCATCTTCTACTGTTACTGGCCATGTTTCACAGCCATGAAGTAAGACGGAGCGAACTACTGCGCAGTACACCTGTCCTTTGGTCAGCAAACGGATATCTCGCCTACGCCATAAGTGACGCAGGTTGGCGAAAGCCAATCGAGCCTTCTGTATCAGTGCTGAGATTTCCTCAGTCACCAGGCTACTGTGATACCTTGAGCAAATCGAATCAACAAGAAGTCTTGATTTAGCGTAGAAATTGCTGTATTCTATAAACACCTAGCCAGCACACAAAATGAATCCAAGCACTCAAATTGCAGTTATTTATATATTCCATAGAGATGTCCTTTGGACAGTCACAAAAATAGCACACTAAAATAACACAGTAACCACCAATCACAGCCAAGGATTTTTGCTGGTGGGAAATATAATCTCAAGGTCAACTGATCGGTCCATGTGTAATATATCCAAAATAAAAATATTTATCAAGCTTCGAGTTCTGGGTATCTAACACATCCCCAACTTTTTAAGATTTATCACTGTACTAGTTCAAACTCTGCATTTACTACCGGTTAGTTTGAATGAAACTTGATTTATTCATTTCAACAAAATGAACATTGAATAGACCTGATTATCAATAATAATAATAATAATTCATTCATTTTAACTTGTTTAAATTAACTGCTGCAAAACTGCGATTGCGTTTGAATGAATTGCTTTTAGCTAGCTAATTTTGCCACAAGCGTTTTAAAAAAAGTGAGATGTACAGTGACAGTTAGTGAAATCTTCCACGCGCATTTTATCCAACTTAAGATACACATGTGTAGTGAACGAGAACACAGGTGGGGGCAACCGAATTGCATTTTTAATGAAAATTACAGGGTTACTCAGTAGTAAAATCGGATAACCATATCGTAAATCGTTGTTAATTTGCAAAATATCAATCCATCATATCAAACTGGACTGTTCCTCTTTTGCAAACAACCTCAATCCATTGTCACTCACTATTCATGTGTTTCATACAAATTGCATTGTGTTCCCACTTTTTTTGTTTCTTGATCTTCCCCCCAATCTTCTGCTGCGCCAGACATTACGTTGACACTCATGTCATATACTACTTATAAGTAGCTCGCAACACACTCATATATATATATATATATATATATATATATATATGTTTTACTTTTTTCTCTAGATGTAGCAAATTCCGATGCAGATGGATTAAACGTACAAGATTGAATAATTATGAAACGGAATATTTTTATCATTTAAAACGATTCGATAAAAGTGATCGTCAATGGTTATTATTATGTTGTATTATGTGTAGTGCAATTTTATGGTTCTTCTATCTTTATGTGTATTCTAGTAAGTGTGAGATAAATAAATACACAACGTTTTTGGGGCACAGTTTTGGAGGTTTTGTGTGTTTTTTCCACATTTTTGAAATCATCAATCAATCAATCATTGTTAGACAGAGCACCATTAGAAGAAACCTGCAAGAAGCACTGACAGACGGCCGTCAAGTCCTGATATGGGACTGCTCATCAGTGGCAGTGCGCATTCACGACGACTCCTGCTCCTCGCACAGGATTCGAACCCGGGACCTTTGGCATTGTAGGCGAACGCCCTACCATCGGACCACTGGGCCGACTGGTATCCAATGGTGTTAATGTCTAACTCTGATCATTGATCTAGGGATTTTGCGCGACCTCACCCATTTGTCTTTGGTAGTTACTGCCTACACCCAACAGGGTTGAACTCCATTGGTCACGCACGTCTTCTCAACTAGAACTCCGAGAATTTCCTCACGAAGCTAGTCACTAATGAGCACATTGTACGATATTTTCAGTTAGAGTTTTGGAGGTTTGTGTATTTACACATTTGAAATCACTAATCAATCAATCATTGTTCAAACAACATTAGAAACCTGGAAGAAGCACTGAAAGACGGCCGTTTCGTGGTCCTGGTATGGGACTCCTCCTCAGCAGTGTCCTGGGTTCGATGCCTGCGGGGTGCAGGAGTCGTGGATGCGCCGTCTGTCAGTGCCTCTTCCAGGTTTCTCTAATGGTGGTCTACTAATATTGATCGATTCATGGTTTCAAAAATGTGTAACTACTAAACAATCTTCACAACATTTTTGGGGCAGAGTTTTGGAGGTTTGTGTTTTTACACATTTGAAATCATCAATCAATCATTGTTAGACCACCATTAGAAACCTGGATCTAGGGATTTTGCTCGACCTCACCCTAGATCAACCAGAGTTAGACATTAACACCATTGGATACCAGTCGGCCCAGTGGTCCGATGGTAAGGCGTTCGCCTACAATGCCAAAGGTCCCGGGTTCGAATCCTGTGCGAGGAGCAGGAGTCGTGAATGCACACTACCACCGATGAGTCCCATATCAGGACTTGACGGCCGTCTGTCAGTGCTTCTTGCAGGTTTCTTCTAATGGTGCTCTGTCTAACAATGATTGATTGACTGATGATTTCAAATCTTCACGACCCTGTAATGTGCACATATATAATATATCCTATTGAATAATGGCATGTTGTTAGTAGGGTTACATAATGTAAAAAAATGATAGAATTTTAGAATTATGAATAGCTTTGTGTGAAGAAATTTCATGAAGTCCGAGTGAGTAAAGTAATAAATACATGATGATCAGTTGGAGTTCAGCCTAGGTTGAAAATGTAGATATAGTAACTATTGAAAACAATGCGGGTGCAATTGCACAAAATCCTTAGAGAAGATTGATTCGAGTTAGACAAGAACATTGTTGAATACTACCGGCAGGTCAATAGTGGTTCAAAGGTTAAGCATCCACATACAAGACTCGTACAAGATTCTTGATTCTAATGCTGTAAAAATAACAAGAGTGATGGATACACACATTACTGATTGATGACAGCCTCAAAACTATACTCATCCAGTGCTTTCAGGTTTTTGTAAATATTGATTGGCCTAACAATGAATGGATTCATTCATAATTTTCAAGATGGTCAAATACAAAATAAACTTGTATTTTAGTATATATTACAGCACTCTTAACAAAACAAATTTGTTTGTTGACAAGTAAAAAGTTGGTTGATCCGTACACTAAGCCTCTCAGAGAGAATACAAGTTTTGTTTGTATGCATAAACTCATACTTAACACACGCAGAGCGATTCAATAAACTATTGATAATATCCCAACCATATCTTGAGGTTTGTAAGTATTGCTGCTTACGCTGGTGTTGTTAACTATGAAAGTTGTAAAATTATCCTCAATACTACTTATTTGTCAGAGTTATATGTTCATGATGATGATTAAAAAGATGTTGGCAAATAGACCAACCAATACAGGGATGAAGTTTTCCAATTGAGTTCTTCAATCAGCCAATCCAGTCAAACTATTGAAGTTGAATACTAATCACTTTAACGATTCAGTGAAAAAAAAGAAAGTGCGCTTTCAAAAACAAGCGTCTAAAAAGATCAGGGATAATAATTTTCATTACCATATTGCCATACTTCACACTCTATCTTCAAGTGAATCAATCTCACAGACTCTTCTTTCTCATTTAACATGTATATGTTCATCTCAGATTCATACATACATATTGTGGTTTTGTAGTGAAAGAGAACACAGGTGGGGGAAACCGAACTGTATTTAACGAAAATTACAGAGTTACTCAGTAAAATCGGAAAACCATATCGTAAATTATTCATTTGCAAAAGATCATTTCATCACATATCGAAATGGACTGTTCCTCTGTTGCCAAACATCAATTCATTGTCAGTATTCATGTCACTATTCATACAAATTCCATTGTTTTCTAACTCTTCCTTTCTTGATCTTCGCCCATATTATGCTGCGCCAGACATTACGTTGACACTCATGTCATATACTACTTATAAGTAGCTCACACCACAGTTTATCTGACATCGCACGGTGAGTAGTAATTTCCATAGATCGAATCCTTAGTAATCAGTTTATATATATACATATATCACCAGTACATAATCACACTTATTTTCGGGTAGAGTTTTGGAGGTTTTGTGTGTTTTTACACAATTTTGAAATCATCAATCAGTCAATCAGTTAGACTGCCACCATTAGAAGAAACCTGTAAAAAGCACTGACAGACGGCCGTCAAGTCCTGATATGGGACTGTTCATCAGTGACAGTGTGCATCCACGACTCCTGCAACTCGCAGGATTCGAACCCGAGACCTTCGGTGTTGTGCACGAAAGCCTAACCATTGGAACACAGGAGTCGTGGATGCACCGTCCAGTGCTTCTTACAGGTTTCTCTAATGGTGTTAGTCTAACAATGATTGATTGATGATTTCAAAAATTTGTGTGTAAAAAAAATCACACTTATTTATAATAATAAATACAACCCATAAAACGTCAGAAATCAATAACTATATCAAGCGAACCGAATTATTTTGTTGTAATTTTCAATATTTCTTAAAATCATTATTGGAAAATTGAAAACATACACCAATTTTAATTGATTCACTGTGAAACTATATATATATATATATATATATATTACTTACTTACGCCTGTTACACCCAATGGAGTATAGGCCGAAAACCAGTTTTCTCCAACCAACTCGGTCCTGGGCTTCCCTCTCCAGTTCTGTCCAATGTTTGTTCATTCCTCTCATATCTTTCTCTATTTCTCGGCGTATTGTATTCTTTGGCCTTCCTCTTTTTCTTTTGCCTTGAGGGTTTCATATGAGGGCTTGTCTTGTGACGCAGTTTGGTGCTTTTCGTAGTGTATGTCCTATCCACTAACTCCACCGCTTCTTCCTGATTTCCTCCTCCACTGGAATCTGGTTTGTTCTCTCCTACAGTACGTTGTTGCTGATGGCGTCTAGCCGACGAATACGAAGTATTTTGCGTAGACAACTGTTATTCAACACTTGTATCTTCTGGATGATGGCTTTCGTAATTCTCCAAGTTTCCACTCCATATAGTAGAATTGTCTTGATATGTGTATTGAAAATGCTGATTTTGGTTTTGGTTGAAAGTTGTTTGAAGTTCCAGATGTTGTTCAGTTGTAGAAATGCAGCCCTTACATTGCCAATCCGCGCCCTCACTACTGCATCGGATCCACCTTTCTCGTCGATGATGCTGCCCAGATATGTAAAGGTGTTAACATCCTCCAAGGCATCTCCATCAAGAGTGATTTGGTTGGTGCATGTTGTGTTGCATCGGAGAATTATTTGCTTTTTCCTTTATGTATGTTGAGACCTACTGCTGCTGCAGAGGCTGCTGCTACACTGGTCGTCTTCTCTTGCATTTTTTGTTGAGTGTGCGATAGAAGAGCCAGGTCATCTGCGAAGTCCAGATCGTCCAGCTGCGTCCTAACTGTCCAGTTGATACCGTGCTTCCCTCCAGCCGTCGACGTCTTCATAATCCAGTCGATCACCAGGAGAAAGAGAAAGGGTGAGAGTAAGCAACCTTGCCTCACACCGGTCTTCACCTCAAAGGAGTCTGTTAGCTGTATATATATATATATATATATATATATATATATATATATATATATATATATATATATATACATAAAATATTTGAAAATTGTTGAATTTTTTTTTAATTGATGAACATTTTTTTGTATGCGTCTTTCTTTCTTTCTACGAAAAAAAAAAGAATCTTTACAATTTGTTAATTCGCGTCGTTTGCGCGAAACTATACACGTTTGGCTTAGTGGATTAGTGAATGTATATTTTTTTGAACCAAACGAATTACCTCGCCGCTTTGCAAAAGCATCACCAACAACAATTTATCATCATTTAGATGATGGAGTCAACGCATTCTTAGTCATTGATATTATTCAAGTTATGTTTGAATGTTGTGGAGTGTATTCAGGCCTATCGGATTGGATATTGATGAATGAAGCGGCATTAACATCAGATCTGCATGGTTTCGGTCTAATTCGAAAAAAGTAAGATTGATTATAGATGGATGAATGAATGTGTTTATTGAGTTAGATATTTTGGGGCACAGTTTTGAAGGTTTTGTGCGTTTTTTCCACATTTTTGAAATCATCAATCAATCAATCATTGTTAGACAGAGCACCATTAGAAGAAACCTGCAAGAAGCACTGACAGACGGCCGTCAAGTCCTGATATGGGACTGCTCATCAGTGGCAGTGCGCATTCACGACGACTCCTGCTCCTCGCACAGGATTCGAACCCGGGACCTTTGGCATTGTAGGCGAACGCCTTACCATCGGACCACTGGGCCGACTGGTATCCAATGGTGTTAATGTCTAACTCTGATCATTGATCTAGGGATTTAGTTAGACTTTTGATTGGATCACATTCAAATAATGTTGTTTTTTTTCAATTAGAGTTATGAAGACTGAAATTATCAATCATCATTAGAAATCTGGAAGAAAGCACTGAAAGACGGCCATTTCATCCTTTGGTATGTGACTGACTCATCATCAGTCAAAAGACGTGACCAGTGGAGTTTATCCCTGTCGCGTGTAGAAGACGGTAACAAATGAGTGAAGTCGTGCGAAATCTCTAGATTGATCAAACTTAGATATTATAACAAACACCATTGGATGCCGTCAGTCCAGTAGTGGTCCAGAGGTCACGCGTTTGCGTGCAAGACCGACCAAGGTCCAGGGTTTGAATCTTGCGAGATGCAGGTATTGGATATGCTCGATTGCTGATGCGTCCCATAGCAGGATGAAACGGTCGTCTCTCAGTGCTTCCAGGTTTCTTCTAATGGTGTTAGTCTAACAATGATTGATTGATTGATTGATTGATGATTTCAATACTCAAATGATGATCATTTCACTTACACGTAATATGCATAAATAAGTAAGGCAGGTCAGTTGAATGAATTAATTTGAGATAATGTATTATTTAAGTGACCGTCTCAATTGATATTCTATGGAGATTAGAAACAACAAGTTTATGAAATGAACAGACATTGATTAAAGTTATATGGATGGTAGTAACATGGTGCTTACTTTGACTGTGAATCGAAAAAAAAAAACTACACCAACGACATTGAAACTCATCTCAATGGATAGTAAGTAATTGTTGGTATTTTGAATGAGTTATTGAAATGATTCAAATGGACTTTTTTTTGGAGCACGCCTCACGTTGTTCCGCTAGATACCATGTGTCTAAGGGGATTGATGATGAGCGGTGAACGGTTTAAAGTGTTCTCATCAATAATTCGCATCACTTACTTACTTACGCCTGTTACCCCCAAATGGAGCATAGGCCGAAAACCAGTTTTCTCCAACCAACTCGGTCCTGGGCTTCCCTCTCCAGTTCTGTCCAATGTTTGTTCATTCCTCTCATATCTTTCTCTATTTCTCGGTGTAATGTGTTCCTTGGCCTTCCTCTTTTCCTTCGACCTTGAGGGTTTCATATGAGGGCTTGTCTTGTGACGCAGTTTGGTGCTTTTCGTAGTGTGTGTCCTATCCACTAACTCCACCGCTTCTTCCTGATTTCCTCCTCCACTGGAATCTGGTTTGTTCTCTCCTACAGTACGTTGTTGCTGATGGCGTCTAGCCGACGAATACGAAGTATTTTGCGTAGACAACTGTTATTCAACACTTGTATCTTCTGGATGATGGCTTTCGTAATTCTCCAAGTTTCCACTCCATATAGTAGAATTGTCTTGATATGTGTATTGAAAATGCTGATTTTGGTTTTGGTTGAAAGTTGTTTGAAGTTCCAGATGTTGTTCAGTTGTAGAAATGCAGCCCTTACATTGCCAATCCGCGCCCTCACTACTGCATCGGATCCACCTTTCTCGTCGATGATGCTGCCCAGATATGTAAAGGTGTTAACATCCTCCAAGGCATCTCCATCAAGAGTGATTTGGTTGGTGCATGTTGTGTTGCATCGGAGAATTATTTGCTTTTTCCTTTATGTATGTTGAGACCTACTGCTGCTGCAGAGGCTGCTGCTACACTGGTCGTCTTCTCTTGCATTTGTTGTTGCGTGTGTGATAATTCGCATTACTCATAATGTAAAACTGTTTCATGGTCCTATGGATGATTGAATTTTGCTCAAAAATATAAGAAGCCTAATTTCATTTAAACAATCATTTGTAAAGTATAGTGTTAAATAGTCAATGGTTGCTTGCACAATCCAGTGTTTTTACGACCAGGAGTTCGGTATAGCGTCACTTTGTCTGTTATATACAGCAGTAGAAAGAGACAGAACTCTCACCATTTCACCATATTATGATTTTTACAGTACAGTTGCAAAAAATACATCTTTTTTATCACTGCTGCAAACCATTTTTGTAGTATACAAACGTACTTTTATTATTGCTCAGTACTCAATTCTGATTGGCTCATTTCTTGACTAGACGTTGCCTAATTTCTCGGTGTAATGTATTCCTTGGCCTTCCTCTTTTCATTTGGCCTTGAGGGTTCCATGTTAGGGCGTGTCTTGTGATGGACGCATTTGGATGCTTTCCTCATCAATGTGTGTCTGATACATTTTCGACACTTCTTTCTGATTTCTTCCTCCACTTGAATTTGCTTTGTTTTCTACCACAGTAGATTGATTGTTACTGATGGTGTCTGGTCAACGGATTCCAATTATCTTGCATAGACAACTGTTAATAAATACTTGTATCTTGTGGATGATGATGGTTTTGGTAGTTCTCTCCAAGTTTTTCCACCCGATTTTTTTAGTAGAACTGCCCGTAACATATGTATTGAAAATTGTGACTTTTGTGTCAGTGGATAATCGTTTCCAGTTCCAGATGTTCTTCAATGGTAAAAATGCTAGCTACCCTCTGCTTTATCGATCCGTGTTTTCAAAATGATGGCTTGAAGTTTGATAGATTGTTGCCCATAATTTTGTAACCCAATGTTGGTGTTGATGAGCGCTTACTGACACAAACGAGACTCATCAACATTTGAAACCTCTACTTATCAAAGACCGATTTAATAACATAGAGTGCCTAATCCCCTGTAACACTAATGAGTTGACGACAGCCACTGTGGTCTACTTGTTTATTAGCTTCGATCAATTCCGGATAGTTTGTAGAAATTATAATTGAAGCTGGTTTAGGCTATTTTGTCATTTGCATTACGGGGTTGTGAAGTTTGTTAAGTTACACATTTTTGAAACCATGCGTCGATCAATGTTAGACCACCATTAGAAACCTGGAAGCAGTGGACAGCCGTTTCGTCCTGTTGTGGGACCTCTCAGCAGTGCGCATCCACGACTCCTGCAGCCCGCAGGATTCGAACACAGGACCTTCGGTATTGTGCGCGAACGCCCCAACCGTTAGACCACTGAGCCGATATCTAACGGTGTTAATGTCTAACTTGATCAAATTCACGTAGTTGCGCAACCTCATACACAGTTTTCGGTAGACACTGCCTACACCCGAACAGATTGAACTTCACTGGTCACACAACTTCCCACTAGAACTCGGAGAAGATTCCTCACGAAGAAGCTAGTCGTCACTAGTGAGCACAGGTAATTTGCCTTACAGGGGTTGTTGTGAAGATTGTTAAGTTACACTCCTGTGGGGTGCAGGACTCTTGGATGCGCACTGCTAAGGAGTCTCATACCAGGAAGAAACGGCCGTCCAGTACTTCTTACAGGTTTCTAATGGTGTTAGTCTAACATTGATCGATTCATGGTTTCAAAAAATATTTTGTCATTATCTCTTAAATTAAGTAGTATGTAGCTTCCATGATGTTTAGTAAATTATTATTCATTGGTAAATTTGATATATGTAATTGTTCACATTTTAACAATGATACACATTCTCTGCACATATGACAAATTCTTCCATTCCATAGTCCATCTGGTCGAATGATACCATATAGCTGTTGTAAAAAGGCCAATTGTAGTTCAGGATTTACTTTTGATCAATTCGAAAAACTGACTCATTGGGAACGTCAAGCATTTCATGAGAATGAATGTACTGAGCCAATTTTTAACTTTGTTAAATCGAAATGGATGAAAGTACAAACGTCATGCCTACCAATAATTATCATCACAATGGTAAGTTAGTTTTACCTTATTGTTTTCTTCCCTCACTAGTGTTTTTTTTTTCTTCGTGTACATAATTAATCCTCAATTGAAGTGATGATGTTGTGTTGTATTGTAGAGTTAGTTTTTTCGAGGATTTTGGAGTCAGTCAATGTGTATGACTACTACTATTTAACTACCATTAGAAGCAAATGGAGTACCGACAGGAAGTAAAGGAAGCAACAGCAGGAATGGAAGAAGGCTGGAGCGTTGGAAGTCAGGACTCAAAGATGGTTTGCAAATAGAGTATTCAATGTAATGTTTTATTTGACTAAGAGTGTAAATTTGCTAAATACAATCTAACGAGCTTGCCTCAGTCTTCTCAATTGGTGTCGCTGCCTCTACACAGTATGAAGATACCATGGCCTCGGGAGTTTGAAGACGGAAATGTAAGGAGCTTCTTGAAGGAGTTCGAGGCCGTGACAGAGCTGGTCGGAGTCAAGGAACGGAGGGCGAAGGCGGTGGTGCTGGGGCCTCTACTAAGAGACAGGGCGAGAGAGGTGTACGGTAGTGTGGAGGACGCTGACTTGGACGTGGTGACGGAAAGGCTGCTGGTGGAGTTCGACAGCCCGGCGGATAGGCAGGACGCGCTACGGAAGTTCCGAGAGGCGAGACTGTCGGTGGATGGCGACCCACTCCTGCTGGACGTGGAGTTGACAAGATTGCTGCACCGGGGTCTGCAGAATTTTGATGAGGAGTCGCAAGCACAGCTGCTAGCCTCGCAATTCATTGAAAGTGTGCCTGCAGAGGTTGTCCAACAGTTGAGACTGGTGAACGCGGCACAACCAATGGACGTTACTGAGCTGGCGGAAGTAACAAGACAACTGATGAACTCAACAGTCGCCTCGTTGGCGTGTGAAAGACAGGTTGATGATATCGTGAAGAAGATAGAAGAATTACAACGAGAGGTGGCAGCGTTACGAATAAAGGGTGAAAGAAATAATAAATGCTATATTTGCGGAGGAACCGGACATTGGAAGAGGAATTGCCTCACAAGACGAAAACATTACATTGAACACTCTATTTGCACACCATCTTTGAGTCCTGACTTCCAACGCTCCAGCCTTCGTCCATTCCTGTTGTTGCTTCCTTTACTTCCTGTCGGTACTCCATTTGCTTCTTGCTTTTGCTCCATTTGCTTTCCATTTTCCTCTAGTGACCGTGAGAGTTCTTCTTTCACTTCCCTTCTTATACTACTTATATTGTTCGTATAAGTAGCACACACCACAATAGTACTGGACGGCTGTTAAATCCTCGTATGCGACTCATCAACAGTACACACACCCCATGTGGACAGACCATTGAGCCTGCATCCAACGAGTAGTTGAATTCGTGAATGGGCACTGCTGATGAATTCAATACTAGGACTTACTTCACAGTCATCCAATGGCTTGTAGGTTTCTAATAGTAGTAGTCTAACTAACATTGATCGATCCATGCATGATTTCGGTATAATAATAAAAGAAGTGATTACAATGATACCAATGATGAAAATGCGACCATAAAGTTGAGATGAGAAATTCAGTACATGAATCCAGTGAAATAAATTTGAGAAGAGAAAGACAAATCTCATGTGGAATTCAAATTTGAATTTGGAAGGATATAAAGAGTGGATGCACCTACGTCATGGTCTCTAACCATCGGTTACTATCATCATCATCTTGAGGACTTCAACCAGATAGTCTACACCTACAAAAATATTCTAGTTTACTTGTCAATGACGAGCGATGTTTTATGATGTTAGGAGTAAGCTGAATAGAAGATAGGAGTGGACAAACCAAAACATGGCACAAATCCATGAAATCACTGACAAGTGGACTGAGCAATGTTGTGGTGGGTGAGAGACTGACTACCTGGTTGAAGTCCGCAAGGTGATGATAATAACCGATGGTTAGAGACCATGACGCAGGTGCATCCACTCTTTGTGTCCTTCCAAATTCCAATCTGAATTCCTCATGAGATTCGTCTTTCTCTTCTCAAATTTATTTCACTGTATTTTACTCTCTGAATAACTTATTTAAACCCTAATGTTTCCGATCACTCTTCGTACTTCTACTACCTCTACCATTGTGGGATTTCGATTGACAATTGCATCTCTATGCTAATGTGGTATAATAACTTTAACCAATGGACGTAAGTAAAAAGTTCTACGTTGTTGATGGCTGACTGACTGACACTTAGGGCGAACTTCGTTTGTGCGACCACGGTAATAAGAAGTCACATATGACGATGAGTTTATTTCAGACAAAATTGTTCATACAGACAGACATGAGAATGAAATGCATACAAGCAGAGCAAAGTGAATTGTAGAAGGCGAACAAGTCAACTCATTGTAAATGAGGTATGTGTGACTAAGCATTTGTATAGTCAGACATGTGAGAAAGGAAGTGTAAGTAACCAGTGCACATCGATACTTAAATAGAATCAACCAAGATAAAAGCGAATAGTTGATAAGGTCAAAAGACAAGTGAATAGTAAGTTACACGGGTAGCATGGATTAGTTAATTTGTCCAAAGGCTTGAAACAAGTACTGTACGCTTAATATAACAACAGTACACACACTACAAAGGTATTTTTAACCCTTTTCTAACAAATGAAATAACATGAATAAATTGTAACCTAATAACTTATTAATTAATTAAAAGATACTAATTCAGTGGTTGATATGCTTGAGCTATTTACAAGTTCACCTTTGTCGGTAAACCGAACCGAAGACCAACAACGATACAGTGACACAATAGGCTATTCTAATCCGAACGTCCCAAGCTCCACATACTAGAAGAAGAAGAAGTCTTAAAAAGACGTAGAAAGTGTATGCTACAAGCACCCAGAAAGTACAAGGTCAACAAAATAGCATCGGGATACACTAAAATCCCTGTGCCTTCAGTTCTGTTTATTAGCCCAAAGTATGCTGTAACCTATATGTTGGGGATGTTAGATCCCCAACATTCGCTTGATAATGCCGTATTTTGGTTTTCACGTTTGCCAGCATGGGCTGATCAGATGACCTTGAGATTTCAATTCCCACCAGGAAAACCCATGGCTGTGATCGGCTACTGTGTATTTTAGTGTGCTATTTTCTTAACTGTCTGAAGGATGTTTCTTTGTTGCATAAATAAACGAGAGTTGTATGCTTGATTGTACTGTGATTGCTGGGTGTTTGTAGAATATACTTCTACGCTTACAAAGCCTTCTATTTCGACTTTGGGTATTCAAGGTAGCCTCCCTGGAAGCTGGTCAAAGTCTAGTTCGCGTTTATCGACTAAGATGAACTCGTAATAGCCTCAAGCATACTAAGTGACGAACTTATCACTAGAGAAAACATGATAGCAGCAAGTCAACCTAGTAGTCAGTCGTCTCCAACATCATTACACTACTAATAAGGCGTGATATTGAAAAAAAAATATACCTTGCCTAACAAATCCCATACATAGTCCAAACTTTCTAGTCAATTTATCACAAGCCAATGAGATGCACCACTATCTATCTATCTATCCTTATTGATGCCCCAGAGTTTTTGGTTGATGAATGAAATTCGATCATATTGAATTAGATATTAGGAATATCATTCTACTTAAAAAAAAAAAAGATTGTGATAAGCTAATTTTAATTCATGTTTTTGAATACTTTTTTTTTTAAATTTAAGATCCCTCAAATCATTTCAATGTTGATATATGTTCAAAAAAGAAAATTATGGGAACACATTAAAGCAGCAATACATGAAATGGTAGATAGTTTGGCAACAAAAAGAAGGAAAGGGATTTCATCTGCAAACATTGTACGTGTTGTTGAAATGTTTTTTTTTTGGGTTCCTCCAATGTTAGCATTATGTGAATGATTTTTTTTATTTCATGAAAAACTGTTTCACTAAGAAATTCAATTGGTGGTGGTTCACAGAGTTTTTTTTTCAACTGTTTCTCATGATAGTGCTGTAGTGAATGAGAACACAGGTGGGGGCAACCGAATTGTATTTAACGAAAATTACAGAGTTACTCAGTAAAATCGGAAAACCATATCGTCAATTGTTCATTTGCAAAAGATCAGTTCATCCTATGGAACTGGACTGTTCCTGTTGCAAAACATCACTCCATTGTCACTATTCATGCGTTTCATACAAATTGCATTGTTTTCTAACTCTTCCTTTCTTGATCTTCACCCCATATTATGCTACCAGACTTTACATTGACACTCACGTCATATACTACTTATAATTAGTTCGCATCACAGCACCACACTCGTCCCCCCTTTTAATAAGCTGTCGTCGTAGTCCTTCAAAACAGAGCCCCTGGTCAGTTAATATCACCTTCCGTATTCCGTGACACGCTACAATATGCTGGATTACCACTTCGGTCATCGTTCTTGATCACTGGTCTGGAATGGATACGGCATCTATCCAACGTGTAGCGTTTACAAGTTCCCGATGCTGGAACACGGCGGCAGGCACACACTCGCTAATTGCGACGCCAAAGACTGTGCCCCGCCCATTCCTCACGGTGCAATTCGGTGAGCTCCACAGCAAGCACCAACAGATCACCATCGGCCGACAGCCGCGCCAACCGGAACCGCTGCGGCGCCTCCTCCCTGTCCACTGGGCTGTCGAACTCCGTTATCAGCCGCCCGGTGACCGTCTCCCACGCCGTCTCCTCGGTGGCACCGTCCAGGCTGTCGTGTACCGCCTTCGCCTCACCTCCCTGCAGCGTCCCCAGCACCGTCAACTCCGCCCCAGGCCCCCACCAGCTCCACCGTGGCCTCAAACTCCTCCAGGAAGCTCCGCCAATCTCCGCCCTGCAACTCCTTCGGCCACGGGAGCCCCTTCCTTCGAGTAGGCAGCGACACCAAATGTAGTGAATGAGAACACAGGTGGGGGCAACCGAATTGTATTTAACGAAAATTACAGAGTTACTCAGTAAAATCGGAAAACCATATCGTCAATTGTTCATTTGCAAAAGATCAGTTCATCCTATGGAACTGGACTGTTCCTGTTGCAAAACATCACTCCATTGTCACTATTCATGCGTTTCATACAAATTGCATTGTTTTCTAACTCTTCCTTTCTTGATCTTCACCCCATATTATGCTACCAGACTTTACATTGACACTCACGTCATATACTACTTATAATTAGTTCGCATCACAGCACCACACTCGTCCCCCCTTTTAATAAGCTGTCGTCGTAGTCCTTCAAAACAGAGCCCCTGGTCAGTTAATATCACCTTCCGTATTCCGTGACACGCTACAATATGCTGGATTACCACTTCGGTCATCGTTCTTGATCACTGGTCTGGAATGGATACGGCATCTATCCAACGTGTAGCGTTTACAAGTTCCCGATGCTGGAACACGGCGGCAGGCACACACTCGATAAATTGCGACGCCAAAGACTGTGCCCCGCCCACTCCTCACGGCGCAATTCGGTGAGCTCCACAGCAAGCACCAACAGGTCACCACCGGCCGACAATCGCGCCAACCGGAACCTCTGCGGCGCCTCCTCCCTGTCCGCTGGGCTGTCGAACTCCATTATCAGCCGCCCGGTGACCGCCTCCCACGCCGTCTCCTCGGTGGCACCGTCCAGGCCGTCGTGTACCGCCTTCGCCTCACCTCCCCGTAGCGTCCCCAGCACCGTCAACTCCGCCCCAAGCCCCCACCAGCTCCACCGTGGCCCCAAACTCCTCCAGGAAGCTCCGCCAATCTCCGCCCTGCAACTCCTTCGGCCACGGGAGCCCCTTCCTTCGAGCAGGCAGCGACACCAAATGTAGTGAATGAGAACACAGGTGGGGGCAACCGAATTGTATTTAACGAAAATTACAGAGTTACTCAGTAAAATCGGAAAACCATATCGTCAATTGTTCATTTGCAAAAGATCAGTTCATCCTATGGAACTGGACTGTTCCTGTTGCCAAACATCAATCCATTGTCACTATTCATGCGTTTCATACAAATTCCATTGTTTTCTAACTCTTCCTTTCTTGATCTTCCCCCCATATTATGCTACCAGACTTTACGTTGACACTCACGTCATATACTACTTATAAGTAGTTCGCACCACAGCACCACACTCGTCCCCCTTTTTAATAAGCTGTCGTCGTAGTCCTTCAAAACAGAGCCCCTGGTCAGTTAATATCACCTTCCGTATTCCGTGACACGCTACAATATGCCGGATTACCACTTCGGTCATCGTTCTTGATCACTGGTCTGGAATGGATACGGCATCTATCCAACGTGTAGCGTTTACAAGTTCCCGATGCTGGAACACGGCGGCAGGCACACACTCGATAAATTGCGACGCCAAAGACTGTGCCCCGCCCACTCCTCACGGCGCAATTCCGGTGAGCTCCACAGCAAGCACCAACAGGTCACCATCGGCCGACAGCCGCGCCAACCGGAACCTCTGCGGCGCCTCCTCCCTGTCCGCTGGGCTGTCGAACCCCATTATCAGCCGCCCGGTGACCGTCTCCCACGCCGTCTCCTCGGTGGCACCGTCCAGGCTGTCGTGTACCGCCTTCGCCTCACCTCCCCGCGGCGTCCCCAGCACCGTCAACTCCGCCCCAGGCCCCCACCAGCTCCACCGTGGCCCCAAACTCCTCCAGGAAGCTCCGCCTATCTCCGTCCTGCAACTCCTTCGGCCACGGTAGCCCCTTCCTTCGAGCAGGCAGCGACACCAAATGTAGTGAATGAGAACACAGGTGGGGGCAACCGAATTGTATTTAACGAAAATTACAGAGTTACTCAGTAAAATCGGAAAACCATATCGTAAATCGTTCATTTGCAAAAGATCAGTTCATCCTATGGAACTGGACTGTTCCTGTTGCAAAACATCACTCCATTGTCACTATTCATGCGTTTCATACAAATTGCATTGTTTTCTAACTCTTCCTTTCTTGATCTTCCCCCCATATTATGCTACCAGACTTTACGTTGACACTCACGTCATATACTACTTATAAGTAGTTCGCACCACAGCACCACACTCGTCCCCCTTTTTAATAAGCTGTCGTCGTAGTCCTTCAAAACAGAGCCCCTGGTCAGTTAATATCACCTTCCGTATTCCGTGACACGCTACAATATGCCGGATTACCACTTCGGTCATCGTTCTTGATCACTGGTCTGGAATGGATACGGCATCTATCCAACGTGTAGCGTTTACAAGTTCCCGATGCTGGAGCACGGCGGCAGGCACACACTCGATAAATTGCGACGCCAAAGACTGTGTCCCGCCCACTCCTCACGGCGCAATCCGGTGAGCCCCACAGCAAGCACCAACAGGTCACCATCGGCCGACAGCCGCGCCAACCGGAACCTCTGCGGCGCCTCCTCCCTGTCCGCTGGGCTGTCGAACCCCATTATCAGCCGCCCGGTGACCGTCTCCCACGCCGTCTCCTCGGTGGCACCGTCCAGGCTGTCGTGTACCGCCTTCGCCTCACCTCCCCGCAGCGTCCCCAGCACCGTCAACTCCGCCCCAGGCCCCCACCAGCTCCACCGTGGCCCCAAACTCCTCCAGGAAGCTCCGCCAATCTCCGTCCTGCAACTCCTTCGGCCACGGGAGCCCCTTCCTTCGAGCAGGCAGCGACACCAAATGTAGTGAATGAGAACACAGGTGGGGGCAACCGAATTGTATTTAACGAAAATTACAGAGTTACTCAGTAAAATCGGAAAACCATATCGTAAATCGTTCATTTGCAAAAGATCAGTTCATCCTATGGAACTGGACTGTTCCTGTTGCAAAACATCAATCCATTGTCACTATTCATGCGTTTCATACAAATTCCATTGTTTTCTAACTCTTCCTTTCTTGATCTTCCCCCCATGTTATGCTACCAGACTTTACGTTGACACTCACGTCATATACTACTTATAAGTAGTTCGCACCACAGCACCACACTCGTCCCCCCTTTTAATAAGCTGTCGTCGTAGTCCTTCAAAACAGAGCCCCTGGTCAGTTAATATCACCTTCCGTATTCCGTGACACGCTACAATATGCCGGATTACCACTTCGGTCATCGTTCTTGATCACTGGTCTGGAATGGATACGGCATCTATCCAACGTGTAGCGTTTACAAGTTCCCGATGCTGGAGCACGGCGGCAGGCACACACTCGATAAATTGCGACGCCAAAGACTGTGTCCCGCCCACTCCTCACGGCGCAATCCGGTGAGCCCCACAGCAAGCACCAACAGGTCACCATCGGCCGACAGCCGCGCCAACCGGAACCTCTGCGGCGCCTCCTCCCTGTCCGCTGGGCTGTCGAACCCCATTATCAGCCGCCCGGTGACCGTCTCCCACGCCGTCTCCTCGGTGGCACCGTCCAGGCCGTCGTGTACCGCCTTCGCCTCACCTCCCCGCAGCGTCCCCGGCACCGTCAACTCCGCCCCAGGCCCCCACCAGCTCCACCGTGGCCCCAAACTCCTCCAGGAAGCTCCGCCAATCTCCGTCCTGCAACTCCTTCGGCCACGGGAGACCCTTCCTTCGAGTCGGCAGCGACACCAAATGTAGTGAATGAGAACACAGGTGGGGGCAACCGAATTGTATTTAACGAAAATTACAGAGTTACTCAGTAAAATCGGAAAACCATATCGTAAATCGTTCATTTGCAAAAGATCAGTTCATCCTATGGAACTGGACTGTTCCTCTGTTGTAAAACATCAATCCATTGTCACTCACTATTCATGCGTTTCATACAAATTGCATTGTTTTCTAACTCTTCCTTTCTTGATCTTCACCCCATATTATGCTACCAGACTTTACGTTGACACTCACGTCATATACTACTTATAAGTAGTT